TTTAGCAATGCCGCAATGCCTAAATTGGTTCAAAAACTTGAAAGCACGACATTGCACCACCCGGATTTCTCGCCAGCTCTTGTTGGAGTGCAACAGAGCCATATCACGGTGCCCTGACATTAGTAAACAAACAGGGAAGTTGTTCCCATTAAGTTTTGACTTCCCTGTCGGTGTCTGGTGATTTGATTTCTTATATGCGATTTTGATGTTCTTCTGTTTGAGGAAGAAGAAAATGATTGTTCTTAAGTTCAAAAGTGCGGAGAGACTTTAGTGTGGTGTAATTTGTACAATTCTCTTTATTTTTCAAAAGGATTTCTTGATGTGATGTGGCTTTGTGATGTTTTGCCATTCTCGGGGTTTTCCACACTATATCTTGATGTTCTTTCTATTTTTTGTGATTTTTTATTTTTAGCGTTTATATTCTGTGTTGCTTTGATCCAGGTGAAATATAGTTGTATAAAATTTATATAAGTTTGACTCCTCTATGTAACGGTGTCAAAAGCTTGATGTAATATTTATGATTAAGAAATTTAAACAATTACAATTAATGTTTAAGAAATTTAAACAATTAATGTTGGGATTCTACGCAAGTATACGTATCATTATCAAATAATAAAGAACTTTCTATTAAAGTCTCGAATATCGATCCCACAGGGAAGGTTTAAATTTTAAATGGTAAATTAACTAGAAAATTCTCAGAAATCAAATGAAATTACTCTCATTAATTTCGAATGTGTAAGATGCTAATAAAACTAAATTATTTAATTACTAGCAAAACTGAAATGCAAAGTTTAAAACAGTAACTATTAAACTATTGAACTATAATACTATGTAACTGTGTTTATGTGATGAAGATTTTCTTTTGTGAAAAAGCATCTTTTCCACTACAATGAAATTTTGGTAAAATGAGATGAGATAAATGGTTTTAATATGTATTGTGTTAAATATGAGTAGTTTTAATTCTCTACCGTGATATAGTGTTATAGAAAATCATTGACTAATCCCAGGTTTAGTCCTTAAATCCGTGGCTAGGCTAGGGGAATACTGGCTCCCACTCCAGAGCTCCTACTTCCCTTTACTTGAAGGCTAACTTTCGCTTTAGTTCTTAAACACTAAGACTGAATTGAGGATTTTAGTTTGTCACTCTAAAATCTCCAATTCTACACCCAACAATGTATATTTTTATATTTATTTGCACTTAATTCCATGAATGAAATATTCTTTCATAGAATCAAATGTGATCCTCACACTGTTGTAGATATCATACTCCATTTTCCGGGTCATATGTTTCACAACACATTTTAACAATTCAATTGACCAGATCAAAAGGTAAATTAAGTTCGGAGTTGAAAAATAATCAGAATTTATTTTATAATTTAATATTGACACATCTGTATTATCTCTTTATTTCATCATATCTCAGAGTAGGGAGAAAGATAAAGAAACTACTCAGAATTCATGAGAAAGATACAATAAAATACAAATTTCATATATAAAAGAAAGTTCATACAACACTAATAAACAAACAACACTTATCTGAAACTCTTTCTCAAAACAAATCCCTTGTAGCCTCTCCTAGGAAATGTAGGAAGAATAAATCTCACTTTTCTCATTCTCCAACACTCTTAGAGAAGAATTCACACAATCTCACAACAAAAACTCTAAACTATTAAAGAAAAATCACTAATTGACTCCAATATCGAAGTGGAATGGAGCCCTTGAATGGTGGTGAAATGAAGATGGAAAAAGTGTATGAGGCGAGGTGTGGCGAAAATGAGCAAGAGGAATGAGGAGCGCCTTATGTGATCAATTTCGGCCCGAAATAGAGCCTAGAGTCGGTTGTCCAGTAGGTGCATCCAAAAACTCTTCAAAAAACGTCCAAATTCGTCGAATCTTCTAGAAACAGGGTCTGAACCGACATTGGCGCCGTCGGCACTAGAGACCATTTAATTAAAGTCGCCCTCTCTATCAGAAGGCGTCGTCGGCGCTGCTTCTGGCGCTGAGTAAAATCCATCAAACAATTTGGCATGAATAGGCATATAAAAATTAATAACATTATATACGACCGTAATGGAACATCAATGGATAGAAAATCAAGCAACTGAGTTTATTGTACATATATAATAATGTATGCGTAACGGAACATCAATGGCTAACTGATTGTATTTTACATGCTATATTATGATGAACGATTAATAACATTATATACGACCGTAATGGAACATCAATGGATAGAAAATCAAGCAACTGAGTGTATTTTACATATATAATAATGTATGCGTAATGGAACATCAATGGCTAACTGAGTGTATTGTACATGCTATATTATGATGAACGATTACACATTCCTGTTTTCTTCTCAATAATTCACAGGTCTTGTTTATTATTATTATTTTTTTGATCTTTTTGGTGAGTGATTTTTAATCATGTATTATAAGAGGCAGGAAGATATTAGATCGTTGTAATCCATTTGATGATGCGACAAATGCTTTAGATATACGATAAATACTAAAGATGTTTCATCATCGACTCGAGATAAGCACTACAAGAATATGTTTTCTACATAATGTTTTTTTTGTCATTGGCACCAAATTTCAAATTTTGGTTTCACTTGCCCATTCCTTTTATTTTTGAGTTTTTTTTTTTTTAATTTTCTTATTTGCATCATCTTGCAGCCTTGATGTGTCACAGAGAAGTCTTGATTTTCATGACTACCTTCATCGGTCTAATATTGTTGCTCACCCATATATGATTGGATATTGATCTTGCTTAAAATTTGTTTGTCATAAACTAAGTTTTGGGAAACTCACCTCCAGCTCATCATCTGCTTCTTCGTAGTAGTTTTGTATAGAACTTCGGTGCAATCTCATTCTTAAAGCTGATGATCATAGTAACATTATTCTACTCCTTTTTGTCGTTAATTTGCGTGACCTGCATTGAGTTTAATGTCACGAATATGCTTTTTTAGCATATTTAGAACCTCATTTCTATTAGCAATCGTAAAGTTATAGTGTGGATGCAATAACTCTTGGTCATGTAATAACATACGCTATTATGCAAACAATGCAATGTGGGCAGATATTTTGCCAATATATGTACATATATATGTCATAAGCACATTAAAATATATTATGACAAATGTGTATTGCACTTTAAAAAGTTAGAATTAGTATTTATGTACTATATAATTAAATATTAAATTTTAGATGTTCAATAAATAATTATATCTGAATTAAATCGTATGTATGTAGATTTTTTTCATATTAAATAAAAAAAAGAACTTGGTGCACTTTATTGGGGCAATGCACCATGTGCCATTGCACATGCCTGGCCAAAAAGCACGCATCATTTTGATTTGCCATATCATGCTTGCAAATGACATCAAGGTGTGCAGTGCTGCGCCTAGGGGTGTAAACGAACCGAACACGAACGAACAAAGCTTGTGTTCGTGTTCGGTTCGTTTAAAATTTAGTTTGTTTGAAATAAGCTCGTGTTCGTTTCTTAACGAACGAGCCGAACACGAATATTATATATTAATTATATAACTTATATTATATAAATATACAATATCTATATTAGTATATTACTACTATAGTATATTAATATATTATTATTATTATTTTATTATATATTATAATTTATAAAATTTAATGTTTTAAAATATAATAAATTTTTTATATATAATTATTTTATGATATTTTATATTTCAAACAATAACGATTCGAACACGAACGAACGCATTACTGTTCATGTTTGGTTCGTTTAACTAACCGAACGAAAAAAATTTGTTCGCGTTTGTCTCGTTTACTTATCGAACGAATCGAACACGAACTCATTGACGAACCGAACACGAACTGTTCGCGAACAACGAGCTTTTTTGACAGCCCTAGCTGCGCCATACGACATTGACATTATGCACTCGGTGACCTTTAAAAAATGAGACCTATTTGTTCATTTACTAGTTCACTTGTCAGTTATGACTAATTTTGTCTGGTCTTGAGCCTGGATCAAATTGTCTGAGAATTGGTTCAATATTGAATAGTTAACCAGTTTGATTGGGCAGTTTGATCTAGTTTATAGAATTATGAAATTATAGTAGCAATAACAAGAATATGGAGAGAGTAGCAACAATAATACGATGAAAATAGATCTTTCTGTTACAACTAGTTCATTTAGATAATAGATTATTTACACTGTTTTCGAAAGCCCAATCAGGGCTTGTGTTTATATGAGTTTGTCTTGATACTTATATTTTTTGTCTTTTGCTCATTTCTTTCTATTTTTAATTTTATTTTTCTTACTTTTAATATCTCGGAATGGGGAGTAGTGGTTTAGTTGTAGTATTATCTGCATTTTTTTAGTAGTATTATCTGCATTTAGTTTACTATAATATAAATCTCAGTTTAAATATTCCAAATATTATTTACTCATGCACCATTTCATTCATAGCATATTAAAGAGAAAAAAATATAAGAATGCATAGGAGAGTCAATAAAAACTTCAAGATTTTTTTCTTAGAATTGAAGGATGTTCGCCATATCAAGAAGAGATTATTATTTTCATAAGCCCTAATTTGTATTAAAATATTATGATAATCACACATTTTTTTAACTAACAATATTTAATAGATATTTATGTAGATGGATGTGCTAACATTTTAGGTACACGTTGGAAAGAACAAACTCAAATGTTAAAGATGCTTAAATGAAAATACTTGACTCGGTAAAAGTTTGTAATTTAAGTCAACTAGTCTATGATTACAGTAATTTAGGGTATAGCATAAGTCAAACAATTCAAACTTAATAAAGAGAGAAAGATGCAATTTGGAATTTATAATTATACTTCATAGTGTCTCTGAGCTTTAGTGATTTTGACTGGAGTGCACGCATGCAAGCGAGTCCATGCATTTACATTACTGCATCCATACCAAATTCCACGTGCCTACATCAAATATTGAACTGCTATTGGTTGCTAATACTTTGGTAAATCTCTTTTTTCAGCGGCTTACTTCATATCTCGAATATAAGTCGCACCCGTGTAGCTTCTGTGAGCGATGTTCTTGAAGTTGACGAAAGGGTCAAAATTCTTGTTGTCAAATCTATGTTTCCAGACAAGATATCCTTGAGGTGAGTTTCCATTGATGTTGGGTTTGAAACGTGCAGCTAAGAAATGATTCAAACTTAATTTCTGGTTGTACCTTGCTTTTTAATTTATTTTTTCAATCATGTACTAACAGCATTGCTGATCTTGAGAGCAAACCTGGTCTATTTCTTTCAGATAAGCAGGTAAAACTAACTAATTTCTCTTTTTTGGCTCTATTGTATTCATTTATTTTAAACCAATGAATCTTTTTGTTTAGTACTGCTTTTTTGTTGGGGTGATGGAATTTTTAGCCGGAAGGTTTCTCATAAGCTTTTCACTGCAGAAGGTTTTCTCGGAGGCGGAAGACATGGCAAGGAGGTATAAACAAAAGACATCAGTTATGTCAGCAACTCCGAAAGTGGATCAACTTCTAGATGAGGTGCTGCCTTTTGATGATGAAGCTAAATTGTATGCTAACTGGGAATGGTTTAAGTTCGAATGAAATGAAGAGTCAAAGGTTCAAACTTTTCTACTGCCTGGTTATTTCATGAAGTAGACCTGTTACAATTGAAGCTGTAGATCCCTTCAGGATTTTAATACAAGCCTAGAATGAAGCTAGTTGAATGTTCAAATAGTTCCAGAATTCTGCGATTCTAAATTTTTTTTCGAGAAATATTGTATCCCTCAGGTGTGCGCAGAGCATCCAGGCGAGGTATATTTGAGCATTTGTATAATGTCCTATTATTTTCGTTTTTTCACGGACAATGTCCTGTTAATGCATTTTCGTTACTAGTAATTATAAGAAATGCTGAACAACTTTTATTGGAACAATTTCTGTTAAATATCGCTGAATTTATTACTGCTTGCTGATGTTTCGTGCATTTTAAGCAGTAATAAGTGCTATATTATTCCTCATTTCAGAGTTATAGATTTTATTATTGTTGATAAAAGCGAATTGATCCAAAGAAATCCTCCTTGATCCAAATAATGCCTGTGTAAAGGCTGTAATTGACAGTTCATGAACATTGATTGACATTGACTAATTAACTATTATTTATATCTTATTTATATGTTGGATGAAGATTGATATAAATTTTGAATTAGAAAATTTTCAGAAAATTCAACTGACCTTCAATTCAAATACATTTATATTCTGTTTTGATGACAAGAATCCATTGGCATAAAAAAATGGGCTAAGTCAAGCTACACCTAAATTAAGTATTTAAATTCTGACAGAAAATTTTATAATATAAATTCAAAGTGCCAACTATTTTAAATTTTTCCAACTTATGTTCAAATCAATTGCATTGATGTGAAAAATTTAATGAGCCCAAGACTATTCAATTTTTATTTGATGTATATAAATTTTTAAAGAGTGATCTACGATCAAACAAATTATTATAGGCTATTTAGTAGTGTTGTGGGTTATCTACGATTAAATTTTATAATATAAATTCAAAGTGTCAACTATTTTAAATTTTACCAACTTATGTGCAGATCAATTGTATTGATGTGAGAAATTTAATGAGCCCAAGACTATTCAATTTTTATTTAATGCATATAAATTTTAAAGAATGATCTACGATCAAACAAATTATTATAGGCTATTTAGTAGAGTTGTGGGATTTGAGATAAGTTTTTTAAAGAACATTATAAAAAATTATAAATGGTCTCATTTAATATATCAAGAGAAAGCTTGAAGATGTGAAGAGCTTAAGAGTTTGTTTTGATGATTAACACTCAGGGTCATTGTAGCTAATGATTTAGTTTGATCGGGGTCGTTCAACCAAAATCATTTGATTTATGTCAATCTTAACACAATTGTCATATTTGAATCACTAGTATTCCACATCCATTATCCAATTGTCATTATTAGTCCCTAGATGCCCTAATGTTGTTGCCCGACTAATATAATTTGACTATCATTATTGTCCCTCTACTAAAAACTATATTACAATTAAAGGAGTTGGACACTTGACTAATATGCTATGTATGACTTTTGCTGGTCAAACTCAAGCTCAACTTGGCATTCAAGCTAATTTGGTTGAGGTAGATTCACTTACCGAGTTTAAGTCAAATTTTCTAGTTAGGTCGAGGTAGATTCACTAATCGAGTATATGAAAAATTCAAGAACTAAAACAACAACAACAACAAAGCCTTTATCCCACTAAGTGAGGTTGGTTACATGAATCCTTTTTCTCCATCGCATCCTATTCAGTGTCATATTTTCAGCTAATTGTAATAAATTAAGATCATTTCCTTGGTCTACCTCTTCCTTTCTTAACATGTCGAATCTAAAACATCCACTCTCCTAATTGGATCATCAGATGGTCGACGTTTAATGTGACCAAACCATCTAAGACAACTCTCTCTAATTTTTTTCGTCACTGGAGCTACACCAACCTTATCATTATCACAGATAT